TCCCGGGCCTCGGTGTCCATGGGCCGGAAGGTGGAGCCCTTCCTCGTGACCGTCCCGGTGCCGATCATGACAGGCAGCTGGTAATCTGAAAGCAGAAGAGCAGAAGACACGTCACGGGTGCGCCGCATGGCCAAGGCAGCTGTTCGCAGGGGAGGGTGCTCTGCCCAACCTACCCTCTACCGAGAGCCCGTGGGCCCGGCAGGATGAGGGAGGCCAAGAGGTACGAGGCACAGGTGGAGTTCGGTTGGGGAGATGCTCATCTTTGCTCCTGAGGCATCTCAGACCACCTTTCCACCGGCACCTCGCAGACTTTGTATACACTGAGTGGCCAGATTATAATGACCACCCCCCATCAGTACAATGGAGTGAATTAATTATGCAAATAATAATAATAATAATAATAATAATAAAACCTTGAGAGTATTTGCTTAGGAAGTTTTCAATATTCAGTATTTTTGGAAGTGTCGATGAAGTACCCCGAGAAGTCAGAAGCTAGAGCAGCGCTGCTACTCTGAGTGTGGTCCGGAGACGCCTGCATTATCTGAGCGCTGCCTGTGACAAATCTGCAGAGAGGGGGTCACACAAATTGAGAGCAAGTGTTTAGAAACCTACAGCAATTGGAGAGAGTAATTTTATGTCCCTTGAGTCTTATAAAAAAAATTAGAGCTTTGTAAACTGTATGTCTTTTTGAAAACTTCCGTACAACTAACTCATATTGTATTTTACAAAAGTATTAGTCCTGGATGGATTAGAAATTTAAAGAACAAAAAAACAAAAGCAAAAATTGGATCTTTCCCCACAGACAGTTTGAAAAGCTTAACTCCCAATGCTTGTTGATCAGGGACGCCCAGGCCCCTTTAACACCGGACGGGTTTTTTATCTCTTCTCCCCTCTCCTCAAGGGCAGGAGCCGTACTTAACTCCTCGTTAGTCCCTCTTTCCTAGTGCCTTAATCAAAACCTATAACAAAACAGATCAATTAAGTTTCCAGATTTCAGTGGTCCTTCAGGGCCATTGCTTTGGGTGTCAGTACAGCCCCTGCAGGTGTAAGAGCCTCCTCGGCTGAATGGGGCTCTTGAGAAATACCTCAGTGTCAGTTTGCAACTCTGTACAGAAAACTTCACACATTACTAATTTAAATATGTGTGTGTATTTTTTATTGATTTCAGAAAGAGGAAAAGGAGAAGGGGAGAGAGATAGAAACATCAGTGAGGAGAGAGAATCATCCATTGGCTGCCTCCTGCTCGCCCTCTACTGGGGATAGCACACAACTTGGGCATGTGTGCTGACCGGGATAGAACCATGACCTCCTGGTTCACCGGCCAACACTCAACACTAGGCCATACCAGCTGGGCCAGACAGTCCTGATTTAGAGGACCCCATCTAAACAGCAGGATTTTAGTCTGATTTTTCTCCTGGTCTCCCCTCTCCCACAGCAGAGGCCTGACACTTACCCGCCATATCCCTTGTGATGAGATCTAACTTTTGTGTCACCTCCTTCTCATTATCATAGCTGATGGTGAACTCAGCCGAATGATGTCTGGCAAAGGGATGTTTAATCTGCTTCCAACAGTCTGGAACAAAGACGACAGGAAATAAGGTGATAGCTTAGAAGTACAGCACACATTCTCCACTGCTCCATGACGTGTTCCTCCAGGAGCCACAGGTCAGGCTGCCTTCTGCCGGCTGACCTTGTGATAAATTCACAGGCACATGCTTCAGGGATGTGTGTTAGAAACCGCACACTGAGGCTGTCATATCCACAGCAAACACTATTCCAGCCGTGCTTTCCACTGTGCCTTTAAAATGTCTCTGTGTGGCCATCAGGTCCCATATCCTCCCAGCGTTAGACCACCCAGTTTTCCATGGCATTTGTGACCCCAAGGAATCAACACAGCTAGCTGTTTAGACCCAGTAAGGTGGAGTCCCAAGCTGTTTCTGAGATTCTCAGGGGCCCTGCCCATGGCCTTCTCTCTGGATGGCTGCCAACACATGGCTTGGGCATCTTGTGTCCTAAGGATTCTCTGAAACCCAAACACAAGACCTGTCTAGTCCTTCCCCCACTTTCCCAGAGAGCAAAATACAAGGGAAGCCTGCAGATGCTGAGTGCTGGACAGCGTTAAGGTCACAGTTCACAGATGGGGCTTTTATAACTTCTCCTTGATTACAGGCAATGTGTTGGCCTAAACTCCAGTGCCAAAAAGAAGGAAAAAGAATGTTGATAAATGATGGGATGAAGTTGAACAAAAGTAGAAGTAAACTGCTCTCTGAATTAAAGAGATAAGACACAATATATTCTTTCCTTATAAATTTGTTAACTTAAAGGCTATAGAAATTTATATTTTATTTTAAAAGACCGAATGGTGCTTTTAATCAGCAGATCCTATCCCTTCCTCAAAGAATAAAATTGAAGATAGAAATTTCAACCCACCTGTTTTTTGGGCTTTAGCGGATGCATAAGGAGTTCCTTTCTTCTTCCATCTAGCAAGACAAAAAAAATCCTACTGAAAAGGTTTCTAAATGATAAGTACTCTTTATAAAATAATACTTGAAACTTTCAACCTCTAACCAACATGTTTGTAAAATACAAGTTAATATTTTATCTTGGAAGGAGTAATGTCTTTCTCCACATGAGCATCTGCAGGATAAACTTTTTGTTTTTGTGATTGTTTACGTAAGTAGAGAAGAAATGTGAAGTCACGTACTTTCTAAGGACCGCAGTGATTCCAACAATCAGCAGGGCAAGGAGCAGCAGCAGCGGAACAGCCACCATGGCAACCTTTGCTCCTAAGAGTGGAAGCAGCACATTACAACAGAAACGACCTGCAACCCCATTTCATGATCTAAAACTCAACCTTGATTTGAAAATTCTTCAAAGAGTTAATGCACGAGGAAAGAAATACATTTATGGACATTGGAAAGCAAGAAAAAAGAATTCAAAATTCTGGTTAAGGTTTAGGGAAAGGAAATTCATTCCCTCCCCCCTACTTCCAAAGCAGTTTTCTTCTTCTTAAATAATTTAATTTTTTTTCAGTTACAGTTGACATGCAATATTATATTAGTTTCAGGTGTAAAACATAGTGATTAGACATTTATATAACTTATTAGGTGATCACCCCAACAAGTGTAGTATCCATCCAGGTAGTTATTATAGCTATTTACCCCCTCATGACTTTTTATGACTGACAATTTGGAACTTTAATCCTTTCCCCCTTTACACCCATTCCCCAATCCCCCTCCCAGGAGTCGGTTTCTTTGCTTATTTTGTTGTTGTTTTTTTAGATTCCACATATAAATGAAAAAACATGGTACTTGTCTTTCAGTGTCTGACTTATTTCCCTTAGCATATTACCCTCTGATCCATCCATGTTGTCACAAATGGCAAGATTTCATTCTGAAAGGCAGTTTTCAATATTCTTTGGGGATTAACATTTACTCTGAGCTTGTTGCTTGGTCCATATTAGACTCCCCAACTCAGAACTGAGGGGAAGGTTTAAAGCTGTCCCGCCCAGCCAGGAGCTATTCAGGCAGGTAACGAATTCAGCCCCGTGGAGTTGCTCCCTCGGTTTAAGCAGCCAGTTCCCTCCTGATAGTGGGCAGTTGGGACCTGGACCCTAATAGAGGCCTGGGACCTGGGCTTCTCATTACCAGAGCTTTGGACCCAAAGGAAATTCTAGTATAGCCTGCTGGCCTCAAACAGCAGTTCGCCCTGCTGCACGAAACAGCAGACCATGTCTTCCTACAACTCTTTCTGCTTTAAAAAAGGAGGCCACTTTACCAGGCACTGTGGCAGGCCCCAAGCTTGTAGGAAGTATACTAACTACACATAAGGAGAAGTGTTTGTTCTTCACCCTTCTCTACCTGTGACCCCTGGGAAGAAAACATAGAGATAACCAGGAGTGGAAAAGTGTTGTTCATGCAAGAAAGAATAAGGAACTAAGAAAATTACAGAAATATCTGTGGTATTATTTATAAAAGTAAAAATTTGGGGAAAATTTAACAACTTAAACATCTAACAATAAGGGAATGGTTAACTAAATAATGGGATTTCCATATGAAAAGATACTATTAAAGATACTAACAACTGTGCTTTTCAACTACTTAATAACATTGAAAATGCTCATAATACCATGTTGCGTGAAAAATATATGCTATAAAACAATATATGTTGTGCTGTCATTTTGTCTCAAAGTTATAAATATAAGTATAATTGATTTGATATAGTGGAATTTGGTGATTATGGAAGCTGATTCATAGCATTTATATTTATATTATTTTTTCTCTAATCTTTCCAAATTTTATAAAATTAATATACAAATTATTTTATACACTGAAAAAAGAAATGTCCTTTCAATGTTCATTACTTGAATAAATTATACACACTTATATGTTTAGAATTCAAAAAGTATATAAAGGTATAGAATGTATGTCTATCTCCTACCTCTATTTCTCCTCTACAAAAAGCCAAATTATGTTTCCTGACACTGTTCCAGAAATACTAGAATAAGTATATTCATCTTTATTTTTCCTTTTTACACACATATTAGAGTGCTAGATAGACTGTTCTATACCTTGCTTATTTATTTTAGTTGTCAATTTATCTCAGAGAACTTTCTAGATTACTAACACATTTTTTTTTCATGGCTAAAGAGTATACTGTTGCATGGATGTAGTATTATTTTTCCATAAAATATTTACCTAGCATTGGAAGGGCAAACACTAACTTTTCTACTTACAGTACCACGATGAGTAGTTGTAGACATACATCACTTACACATGTGCCGATATCTCTGAAACATCTGCTTCCAGTCATTTATATGACAAAGAAAAGACATTCTGTTGAAGCTACTGTAACATTGGATGGAGTACCAGCTCTACTCCTGAGGAAATCACACAAAACAGTAAGTGCTCTACCTGTGGACATTTCTCCAGAGGGGATGAGTTTTGTGATTGTCTCATCTTCTCTTTCCATTGAATCGGAACTGGTTTTGCGCCACACCAGTGAATCATTGTTACCTGAGAGAGAAGAGATATTGGAAAAACCACCTTAGTAACAACAATTTGGGAAAGGCAATGGCCAGAATCAAACGACTTACTAACCCACCGAGACTCCTACCTTGTATAATCGGGCAACCAATGAGCTCCACCTTCAAGGCGATCCTCTGGTGCCACATCTCGGGGATGACCCGCAGGTGCCTGGCCACGATGGGAGGGATGAAATTGTTCACCACTGGATCCCGAAAATTAAAGTTGCCCCGAAACACCTGTGGAAACAGGTAACCTTCCCCTGAAGATTCTATTCGTCAGATTTTAGATCTTTATCAACCCATTCAGACCTGGTTACATGAAACCAAAGCCAGGATTCTATGTCTGTTGCATTTTTTTTTTTAAAGACACTCTTGATATCAAAGATACAAAGAAAGGCCAAGTTACCTAACTAAGCTGCTACTGAGAACCTGTTTTCTGGAAGCATGCTGATGAAACAGTTGGAGGCTTGATCTCCTGCTCAGTTCTTTCCTCCAAAGTTTCTCTTACCTTTTTTTCATTATTCACAATTCCTTTGTAGGTCTTCCACTTGGAGTTGTTGTTTTTGACGTTCATCATAAAACTCTTAATATAAAAGTTGAAATTTGGATGTGTGGATTCTGTGGTCCTAATCCCTTGTAAGAAAATATTATTTATAAATTAGTTTTTAAAGTACATTACATACAGCACGTATGTTAACTTCAGGTTTCTTTTTCCCCCAATCATGTAAAATCTCAAATCATTTCACCAGCCAACGTTTCTTATTTGCATTTAGAAACCTGATCACAGATGAGTGTTTTCATACTGAGATATGCCATAAAAAGTACCATCATTGAGGTATCAGCTCTCTGGTCCATACATTCATATTTACAACCCACATGCAGGTTCTTCCACTGAGACAATGAGGAGATTAAGACATAGCAGACTTTGAGGCATCTATTTAATCAGAAACATAACTGCAACCCCAAGTCGTTTTGCAGCTGTGAAACTGCGCTTGTGTCAGTACCTGTTATTTCCTTCTCCTCTCCCAAATCTATTTCCAGCCACTCTTGTTTGCGGTTCTTGCTGCTGTTCCCCAAAGACCATGATGGGCCTTGGTCCTGACGTCGGGCGTGGCCAGAAGACCAATGAATTTGTTCTCTAAACTCACTGACCCACTGCCAAGAATCTCTGATTTGCCCGTCTGTTTCCAAACTTAAGGATGTGCTGCAACCTAGGAGAAAAGAGCACTGAAATATTTCAGATATACAACCCAGCAATAGTCAGTTGTTTTACTTCCATTGTGATAGCAAATCAATTATTCCATTGCTCGTGTTTTAATGACTCAGTTTGCATTTGACTCCCTTGTACTACATATCTTGAAATTGTTGCTGCTTTTGTTTTCAATGGACCTTATTGAAGTCACATTCCCTATAGGTGCCACCTCTTTGTTCCTAGTGTAGACTTCCCTTTCTGACCTAAATTCATCCTGATTTTAATAAAGTGCAAGGGGCCTTAAAGGCTTAAAATACTGAGGTTCTTGTCTATTCCACTCTCTGTACCTTGAAGAGCAGGTACGTCAACTGCTCTGAAGATCAGTAAATTGAACCTGACATCCACCCTTTGGACCTTCGCTATACCATGTCCAAGGCCATGTGGAGGGACCAAGTAAAGGCAGCACTCCTCTTCCTGGACAAGGAAGACATCATATTGTTCTTCTTAAAATATCCCACTTTATGAGAGGGAGATTACACAGACTATCTTACACAATGGAGGGGACAAAAGCCGTTATTTTATATACTCATGTTCGATAACTTAATTCAAGAAACCTACCAACCAAATTGTACTACTTAAAAGCTTTTCTGGCTCTGGCCGGGTAGCTTAGTTGGTCTGAGTGTCATCCAATATATCAAGGTGTGGGTTCAATCCCTGGTCAGGGCATATAAAGGAAGTGATCAATGAATGCATAAATAAGTGGAACAAAAAATAGACCTCTCTCTCAAATAAAAAAAAAAAAATTAAAGCAATTTCTGTTAAAATCGAACATGGAATTTATCTTAAAGTATTTGGCAGTGGAATCTTCAGTTTGCACAGGCTTGGGCTGTCGCGTTTGCAGAAAGACCACAGGCGGGACAAAATCCTTTAAACTGTAAAACTGTATCATCTGAGGGATATGGAAGAATAAACTACCATGAGGAACGGAACATATCAAATTCTTAAGAAAAGCATGATCCTTACCGTTGGAGGCAAATAGAAATCGCTTGTCTGACAGGGAACCACTGAAATAGTAAACACAAACAGAGGGAGTGAGCTGCTTACCTGACTCTTACGACTGGCACAGCGCTATAGCACAGGTTCACAGAGCCTCCCACACCCCGTGATCAGCACAGCCCCCAGCAAGGCCACTGTCATCAGCCTCATCACCGGCATTCAGTATCAGCCCCAGCAAAGGAAAGCAACTTTCCTAAATTCATAGAGGTGACAAGTGAGCAGGACTCTGAGGCACTGCTTATGAATAAACACCATTGTATTTGAGAAGAAATGCACAGATACAGAGTTTCAGAAACAACCTTAAATCTCAGTCCTATATAATAAAAGCCTAATATGCTAAGTGTCCAATCTTCGACCAGTCACTGACCACCAGGGGGTAGACACTCCGATCGGTAGTTTAGCTTTGGGGTCTGGTCTGCCCGCTCCTCTTCCTGGACAAGGAAGACATCATATTGTTCTTCTTAAAATATCCCACTTTATGAGAGGGAGATTACACAGACTATCTTACACAATGGAGGGGACAAAAGCCGTTATTTTATATACTCATGTTCGATAACTTAATTCAAGAAACCTACCAACCAAATTGTACTACTTAAAAGCTTTTCTGGCTCTGGCCGGGTAGCTTAGTTGGTCTGAGTGTCATCCAATATATCAAGGTGTGGGTTCAATCCCTGGTCAGGGCATATAAAGGAAGTGATCAATGAATGCATAAATAAGTGGAACAAAAAATAGACCTCTCTCTCAAATAAAAAAAAAAAAATTAAAGCAATTTCTGTTAAAATCGAACATGGAATTTATCTTAAAGTAAATGTCATTTCAAATTTTCATTCTTTTTTGGCAAAAGTTTGAAAGAGCTTAGATTATAAAGAAAAATATTTTCTGCTTAACATTAATATTAATTGGGCTTATTGTCTTGTGTGTTTTGCACAGCCCTCAGCAAGGCCACTGTCATCAGCCTCATCACCGGCATTCAGTATCAGCCCCAGCAAAGGAAAGCAACTTTCCTAAATTCATAGAGGTGACAAGTGAGCAGGACTCTGAGGCACTGCTTATGAATAAACACCATTGTATTTGAGAAGAAATGCACAGATACAGAGTTTCAGAAACAACCTTAAATCTCAGTCCTATATAATAAAAGCCTAATATGCTAAGTGTCCAATCTTCGACCAGTCACTGACCACCAGGGGGTAGACACTCCGATCGGTAGTTTAGCTTGCTGTTGGGGTCTGCCTGATCCGGGACTGGGAGAGACAGGCCAGACATGCCGTGGAGCCTTCCCATGGTCCCTCCCTGGCCCCAACTGTGCACCAGTGGGGTTCCTCTGCCTGGCCTGTACCCTCTCACACTCCAGGATCCCTCAGGGAATGTTGGAGAGCCGGTTTTGGCCCGATCCCCACAGGTCAGGCCAAGGGACCCCACTGGTGCATGAATCTATGCACTGGGCCTCTAGTTAATTAACACATTGTGGACGGATCATGAGAATTCTCGTTTCTTATTACACAGTGTTTTACAAAGCATCATACTTTAAAAAGATATTAGCTTGAAAGAACATGCAATAAATAACTTCAAAATGCAATGGGTACTTAATTTAAAGTGTGCCATTAACATTTATGTAAAATGTTTTCTGTAATTGTTTAATAGAAACTTATCTGGGTAAAGCTAGCAATAAAACTACTGGTTAATATATGATGATAGAGACAGGATCACTGCCCTGAATACTTCCTTTGATTCAGCAGTCACCGTAAATGTCCCGCTCACTGTCAACAACCAAAGACCATAGCAAGAAGTGGAGAAGCCTGGCCACTTTTAGAAGAACAGCATGCCATTTGCTAGCTGCCTTCTCTACAGACTTTCCTACCCCTTTCCTTAGGGATCCTGTCCCAGCATGTTGTTCTGAAGAGCCTCAACCCAGTCTCTCTCTATGATCACACTGTCGTAACTAGCACCAAGCCATGAACCAGAGCCTGCTTTTGGATGACAAGGTACAGCTGTCACTGAAAGAAAATTCAAAGCATTTCACTGACTGGCCTGAACTGGCCCTCAATGCTCTAAGACAGCCCTCCAGCTCATCGGCATTCACCTCTGGGCCTCCGGAGCCCTGCTGCCCTACAGCCTGTCTTAATCTCATGGGAGAACTTACTAAATCAGCCTTGTTCTGTACTTGCCTTCTTCGGAAGAGAAGAGATTTCTAAGACCTCACACCATATTTAACTTTCTAAAAATCCATCATCAACGCAATGGTGTAAAAATACACAGAACCAATAGAAAATCTGGAACTCTCAAGATTAATCTTATGTACATAGTACTTAGTATATTAGATACTAGACAGAAACACAAAAAAGTTGATGTCGCCAACCCTGCGTGGCTCAGTGGTTGAGCGTCAACCTATGAACCAGGAGGTCATGGTTCCATTCCCAGTCAGGGCACATGCCCGGGCTGAGGGCTCGATCCCCAGTGTGGGGTGTGCAGGAGGCAGCCGATCAATGATTCTCTCTCATCATTGATGTTTCTATTTCTCTCTGCCTTTCCCTTCCTCTCTGATCAATAAAAATATTTTTTTAAAAGGTAGATGTCACTGTGTGTGGCATTATTTTACAATCTGAGAATATGAGTTATATTTTAAATGTTTAACTCTGAATTATACATGGCAATCTTGGACAGAGAGTATAGAACTGTAAAATCCACAGAGAACTCCAAAATAGTTAGGCAAGAGCATGAGTACCTTCCCATCAATGTTTTTCTTAGAAGTAACAGGTAGTCAAACTCTCTGGATTAATATTCTCTTTCATATTCTTTGTCCACCCTCAGGCAGAGACTCCATCAACCCAGGAACCTACATAAGGTTCTATTATAATCCCTGTACTGAATGAAAGGCAGGCACCATTCATTTTTCATATGAGAAAACTCAGACCCACGTGGGTCAGGGGACTTGACTAAGTTCACATTTGGTGGCAAAGCTGGGAGGAGGACCCAGCTCTCCTGACTTTTAAAAAAGATGCACAATGTTGTATTTCATACTTAAATTTTTATTAAGATTTATTTAGAGCCTTTCATTGACTGATTTTCCCATCTTCTCTAATGTTCCCGCACTAAGTATTTCACTTGAAATTTGGCCCAAATAAACCCAAACAATACTGCTGCCAGCCTACACTTGTTCCCACTGCCGGGAAACATTAAGATTTTGCTGCCGTTGTTGAAAAAGAGAAGTTACGGTAAGAAGGGTAACTTTGGAGTGACCCCTGAGAAGAAGATGCCAGGGAAGGCTCAGCCTCTAACAGCTCCTTCCTCACTTTCCTCCATTATCCGTGGGAATGGTTTTTCCCATTGCACTCTGTTGAACCAATTGAATATGACCATTTAGAGAATTCCATGGGTAAGTGTTCTCTTTTAAAAAAGAAAATGCCCTCGGATGTGGGGATTCGGAGGTTTTCACAGATTAGGGTGAATGCATTCAATCAGATTCCAGGAACGGCCAGCCTTCCCAGCGGGCTACAGAAGCAATCAAGAACAGTCTGATGTAAACAGAAAGGCAAGCCTTCCCGGCCTCTGGTTGGAGCCATCCTCCTCTTGTGAAGTCAGCGCTTCTTCCTGATTCCATTCTGGTCTCCCCAGATCCAGGAAATAACCTGACCCCGGATGAACCCCAAAAAAGCCCTGGATATTTACTCTAGGGGCTCTTTCTTCCTCAGCTGCAGTGCTTCCTTCTGTGTTTTTTCCTGAACACCAAACAATCATGTGTGGGAACAGAAGTTCAATGACCGCATGTACACTGGTTCCCCAACAGCAAACCAGCACAGATAAAAACAAGTGCTCCCTGAAGATTTGGGAATCTAAATGAATGAAAAAGACTATTGGCCCACAGCTCACTCCTCTCCTAGTGCAAAAAGTCAGTGCAAAATCGGAGCTAGAAGGAAGAAGGGACCTTGATGGAATTCTGGATTTTCTATCTGCTCATATCAGCACAAAAATCGGATTATCTCTTCACATAATTATACAGACTGTGAAGCAAAATTTTCCCTAATCCCTTAATGGTTCAGATTTTGGTACTCTTTTTTTTTTTGCATTAAAGTTTAATTTCAAACTATATAAAGCAGCTTCACATGTATTAAGCTCAATTGGTATCGCAGACGTCGTTGAGAACATAATGTTTACTATTGTTCAGTGGTTTTAATAATTGTTATTCAAAAGTAAAGGAAAATCTTGTATTTGTACAAAAGAAGCCTTCAAATGTATGCAGACACGGGCAAGCAATTCCAAAGAACAGATTTAAAGCCAAAGGCCAGTTCTTCATTCAAGTTGAAGATGGCAGCCCTCAACAAACCTAGGCCACAGCCTGATGCCTTCCTGAGATAGCATTCTAGTATCAATAGAACAACAACAACAACATAAAAAGACACAGATTCTCCAAAATCAGGGTCAAGCTAACATTTAAAGCTTCCAGAGAATAAGCTATCTCCTTTACTATAAATCAGGATATAATCCTAATGTTCCAAAGAGTTTGAGGCAAATACATTAAGTGAAAGCGTATATGTGTATACATGCGTATGCATGAATACACATATGAAATTTCATTTGTATATAGCATAAATGTATACACACATAGGTACACACACATATACTAGTATATAAATATAGACTTTATTTATTTGAGTAAAGATTTTAGTTTCTAAAGGCATCTGTAAGCTTTTAGATCTAACTGTAGCACAAATTTAGAACTAATTTGTCTTTGAATGTTTAGATAATATGAAAAAAATACTGTGGGGTCTCTTGTTGTAAAAAAAATCCCATCCATAGGGAAAAGCAAATGGGAAGGTCACGGCAGGCAGAGAATGCAAATATTAGGAGGCGAGCCGGCCCATCTGAGCGTGCAGTGAGTGGCCAGGCCTTACTGGCTGACTACCTTTCATAGGTTTACACGCAGCATTGTTTTCAATGCCTGTGAACGTGTTGGCCTGGAACCACCTCTCCAGTTACCCCCACCTGCACCCCCAAATTCAGAACTGCCAGTGGGATTTCTGCCTCTTCTCAGTCACCCACCAACCAGCCTGCTGGCCGTGAGTTGGATGTGACATGATGTGCCAACAGCCACCATTACCCTTCTCTGGCATCTCTTCCCTGGTCTTGACTCTACTGCTGTGTCCCCCTAAGTCTTGGGCCTGCCTTCCATCAAGCCCAAGGCTTGCCTTCTTCATGAAGGTACCTAACAAACTTGTCCCCTCACTTCAGTCACTGCTTGCCCTCCCCCACTGTAACAGAGTAAAACACTGGGTCTCTGACTCCATCTTGTTCAAGCCTGTTGGTCCTGTAGCCTTTAAGCCAACAGCTCCTGCTTTGTCTAGCACACAGATATGCTAATCACTAGAGGAATTCTCCTTGATGCCTGAGTTTTAAAATCACAGCCCTCCTATTTCCCCTCCCCTTGACATCCAAGAAGCCTAAACTCTGTACTTTCTTAAGATGGATTTGACGATTAGGTCTCCCATCTTCTCGGTTGGAGCCTTTTCAATCAATAAACCTTTTTTTACTCCAAACTAACATTTTCAGTTTTGGCCTTGTGAAGTGTTGGGCACATGGCCTTTGGACTGTAACTTAGTGAGCGTAGGCCAGTACCCCCAAATCCAGAAATCACTTTTTGTCTCAAAGTGTACTTGTGAGTTCACAAATTGGTTCTTTGAAACATAAACTAAATATTCTTATAAAAACAATATTATCATTTGTGGTCAAGATCCTTATTTGACACACAATATTACTAAGCCATAATACATTCCAATAAAAAGTAGTAGTGCATCGTTGTAATTAGCTAGTTATTAATATCAGAAAAGGAACAAAGGGAAGGCCAGACATTATAAACACGGCATTGGGCAGCTTCACTAGGAAGCTGCAACTTTACACACCCCAGGAAACCACCAGTCCATTCCCTGCACATCACTGGGGGAAGGGACTGGACAAAGGGGAAGATGGGTGCATGTGCAGTGAGTGGGGGTGATGTAGGGAAGTTGCCTGTCAGTCAAACCTGGGAACAGAGATCACTGGCTAGAGGGGGCAGGGCCACTGCAAGCCCGGGAAAATTTAGGAATACGTAGTCCTTCAGACAAAGGAGCTCTCTGGTTCCTTTGGTTTTGCTCCTGCTTCCTAGCATTTGCCCATGTTCCCTCCAAAGCCATGCGACCTGTGGACCCCACACACAATGGACTGATGGACTGCACCGGGGACACAAGCTAAGCCAGCCTGATGCCGGATGGACTATGCCCCAACATGGAACGGAAACTCTTGGCAACGGCTTTACTCCTAGCTCTTTCAAAGCGACAGCTATGCTTACTTCTATGGTAGGAAGGAGGGAAATGGGACCTTGGAAACTCAGGGATGTAATTCCACAGAAATAAAGCTTTCTATAATATCTCATCCTTCCATGTGATTTTTAACCAGATAAGATAGTTCACACTCCATTGTGAGAATGGGATAGGAAAACATGATCATGTTCTTTCTGCATGCAAGGGGGGACTAGGGCCGAATGGCAGGGAGAGCTATGCTCAAGCTAGCCAGTGGTCGAAGATGTAGGCCCTGACCTACTTTCGGATCCTGAAATGCCTGTCACCTCTGTTTTGTGCTATATCCTCAGGACAACGAACATGTGACAACCTGTCAGAAATACCAGAGCCGCAGTAATGGGAAGACATTTCCAGGGGCAGGCAGAGAGTGAGGAAGAGAGATAAACACAGTGGCTTGAAGAGCACTTTTCCCTCACTAGGCATTCATCCAAGGGGAGCCTCCCTCTGGACCATTCCCACTGCCTGTTTACATGTGTGGACATCTGGTCCACAGTTGAGCCTATATTTAGTCCTAATAGCTCTAGTTTTCCATTCCAGAAGCTGAGGAAACCTGAAAGCATTAAAAGCTGAGGCTGAAACGTTTCAAGTAATTGACATACATTTTTCTTATGAAGCTACTAAAAAAGCAGAGGATAATATCAAACAGAGAAGTAAACAATGTCAACAAAAGTCATTTTTCTTCACTTCCAAAGTATTATTCATCATTAAAAGATTGTCTCTAGGAGTCTTCTGGGGAGTGCCATAATTCAGAATGGGTTTATTTCAGCTTCCTAGTCTCCCTTCAGTAGCTTCGATAATATTGGAGATTACTAGTAACCAATAAATTCCTGAAACTGAAAAGACTAAAAAGGAATAAGTCTTTGTCCTCTCCAATAAAGTATCTGAGTAGAAGTACTTCTCTGCCCTGGACTTCATACGTGTGCCGTTTTAATGTACTTGTCAGCATAACCAGTGAGCTTTCTTATTACTGCATTTACCGTCCTCACAGGCACTATAAAATGCTACTGTAACACTCACACATCTTTTCCCCAGTTGACAAACCCTTGTCACATGTCTGCTGTTCTTTCAAAATTGTGAGCTAATTATGCCTTGGGGTTACCTTCCACTCAAAACAGAAGGCAAAGAAAGTACTTACTCCCTTGAGAGCACACCATTGGCCAGGATTCCTTGGTATCGACTTAACCCCTTGTGCTGGAACACGCTGATCTGACCGCCCAGTTCATCTGCAATTATCCCTGCGTGGACGGCCGCCTTGCACAATAAAGAGTTCTGAAACACAGCAACACTGTCACTCATGGCTTACTCAAGAATACATTTAAAATATACTGGGAGTTTTCCATTTTGTTAGAACTTGTGGTCAGGACATCTAATTGACCCATGGCATTGCTTAACTATAATTCATTGAAATAAAAAGTAAAAGGGGGAGGGAAAGTGTTAATATATCACTATCTCAATGACATCAGAGTCACCATAGGTAAGCTGACTAGGTTGGTAGGTAGGTAATTTACGTAGCAATGGTCCTCCCAATGAGTAACCCCTCCCGGTGGCCATGTCCTTGTGTAGGTACCTCCCACACTGACTCCCACCTGGCCATGCAGCTTGTTCTGTGCAGCTGCACATGTCAGTGAGGCCACTTTTGACCCTCTGGCCCCAGGTTACCCGCCACAAGACTGTAGCTGTAGGAGTGGTTCTAGGCAAAGGGAATTAAAGAATGGACTCATCAACAAATCAGAGGGTTGTGATTTTAAGCCAGGCAGTTTTGGGGTGGCTAAAATAGATAGCTGTTCAGCAGAAATAGATAACGGATCAGTTTCTTACATTTGGTTTACTAGATGTATGTACTGAGGATCATTTGAGAAGGTGAACCTTCCCCACCACAGCGTTTACAATTTAGAGATTTAATTTAGAGATTTAAGAAGGCATAGAAAACAAAATATAACGCCAGAACACGAAACAGCTGCCCTCTGGTGTGATAACCCAAGGAGGAGCACCTGCCTGGCTGCGTAGCTGGTGGCCCTGGGATTGAAACTGGCCTGCTGGACAGCGGGGCTGGAGGAAGGACTAGAACTTTTCAGCGGGTTGCCCAGGTCCTAGGATTCCATGAGCACAGTTCTGTGTGGGAGGATGATTAGGTAGATTGCAACCTATCTTGCAGGAGACTTCCTTGTGAGGACACTCTTCCAGGAAGGCCCCCATGACAAGGAGCTGAGCACAGCCTCCAGCCAAAACCCGGGAAGAAACTGAGCTCCCCCGTCCGGCAACCTGAATACTGCCAACACCATGTGAGCTTAGAAGCAAATCTTTCCCCAGTCAAGTCTCAGGTGAGACTGCAGGCCTGGCTGACACCTTGGCTGCACCCTTCAGTCCTGGAAGCAGAGGACTCAGCTAAGCCATGCCCAAACTCGTACCCCATGGAACACCAGAGATAATACATGTATTGTTTTACGCTTCTAAGTTTGAGGTGGTATCGTTTTGTGGCAACAGATTCCTAACACACCCATGACATACAAAAAAGGCACTAATCAGACTTCTTTGAAGAGGTTACTTTTCAAAACACAAATTTTCCCTCCAGATAAAATCATCCTAAAAGCAAATGGTGTAAAACCAGTGAGTGAGTCAAATGGGAAAACTGTTCGTAGTACTTGCAAATCTACTGTGCAGGAAACCATTTATTTACTGGTTACATTGAATAAGAAAACTGTCAAGAGGAGGCAAGATAAACCACTAAGTAAGAAAAAATTATGCTTCCTCTCAAATTGTACGTAATTCTTAGGTTTCTTGCATGGTAGGTACAGGAAATAATAAAGAAAACTTTTCTATTGCCTAGAGGGAAAACCATACTTTTTATTTCTCTTAGTTAATTTCCTGAAGTAATTTAGAAATAACCTGTGCCAAATATATATTCAAACTGAGGAGGTATAAATCATTTTAAGGTTCAAACAATTTATAGGCCAAATGAATATCCCGTGTCAATCTTGTAAATAAAGACAATACACAAAAAAAGGAAACAAAGGCCAAAATAACAAAAACTGCTGCTTCCAGAATCAGGATGTGCTAAAAGCAAAAATTAAAGCCAAGTTTTTTTTCCCGTCCTGCTGGAGATGAAGTATCAACCTTCTAGAATATGTATGCTTTCTCCACGATTAAAGACACATGCCAATAACTCTTAGAAATTTCTGATGACTCAAGCAAATTCCTGTAAAACTATTTAAATAGCAATGTCACATTTTAAAAATCAGGCATCAGATTTCCAGGGTAGAAGTCTGTAAATAATAAGAAATGAAACATTGTGAATCTGGCGACAGGATATATACTTTAGAAAAATGACTTCCTGTGAATTAATTTTTCTCTGAGAAAAATGTGCATAACCCAGAAAGTCTCATTGGGCATAGGAAATGGAGGAGCAAGGAGGGAGGGGAATAATATATAAGAACAGGGCAGAGGGCTGCCTGCACTGGTGTCAGACACACATTCACTATTCTGTGATATGAATGCTCATGTCCTTGGTTATTATTACATGAACCAAATGGAGTGTTAAAATAAAGAAATAAAGTATAACAAAAAGATCGCCTCTTATTAAAACCAGATAGAACTACATTCTTAGGTGTTGAGAAGGGTTCTGTTTTACCATTTCAAATGCTTAATGACAGATGCTAAAAATAGTAATGAATAACCTTGGTTTTTGTACTTATTGTATTATTTCATTTATTCTAGGGAAAAAGAGAGTCGTATATCTATCTACAGAGTTTTAGATCTTATTTGATTTTACTTTGTAATGAATTTAGGCAGACCCATAACATTCCCCCCAATCACTTACATCTCTATATCCATCCACCATGTTCCCAAAAATGTCTCCTACTATGTCTCTACAACCAGCTGGGCAGAATTTGCTACAAAAAAAAAAAAAAAGAATTTATCTTATGAAATTATAGTTAAATGTAAAAGTGTTAAAATTATACTTAAAACAATTTCTCTGCTCCATAGAATACACAGGAGGGAATACCTTGCTTTAATGACAAGTCAGAAACCTGATTTATGAAAACACAGATTAATCTAAAATGTTACTATGAAAGCAAGTTTTACACAGTAATTACCGTATTTGCCGGCGAATAAGATGACTGGGTGTATAAGACGACCCCCTAACATTTCCACTCAAAATACAGAGTTTGTTATATACTCGCCGTATAAGACTACCCCCTCTTCCGCACACCTTCCACACACCAAATAAAAGGTAAAACAATATCAGATTTGATTTTAACATTTTAATTTATATTCAAATGCTTATGACATGCAGGAAAACTGTCACAAGGCTGTATGTAATCAAACATATACATAAAACAGTGCAAGTTTATTACCGGTAAACATACCGGTAATTCACTAAAGAAAACACACTCTATAGACTGGTACCGTAGATGCTTCTCAGGAACACAGGCAAGCAGCCCACAACCTAGAGGGACTGTCAATGATAGAAGAAAGAT